ATCAGAAATGAGGAGATCCGTAGGAGAACCAGAGTGACTGACATATCCCGCAGAATCGCTAAAATCAAGTGGCAGTGGGCGGGGCACATAGCTCGAAGAGCTGATGGCCGCTGGGGCAGGAAAGTTCTTGAGTGGCGACCACGAGCTGGAAGACGTAGCGTGGGCAGGCCTCCCACTAGGTGGACCGACGATCTGGTGAAGGTCGCGGGAAGTACCTGGATGCAAGCGGCGCAGGACCGGTCTTTGTGGAAATCCTTGGGGGAGGCCTTTGTCCAGCAGTGGACGTCTTTCGGCTGAAACGAACGAACGAACGAACGAAAGAAATAAATTTTAAATCCGCAACAACATAAGTTTGGGGAACTTCTAACTTCCATAGATGGGCAGATAATATAGTGTACTGGGTAAATATTTAAAATTGCATCGTGCGCCCTATTTAAATAATAAATATTTACACACCAGGTAGTACAATTTTCCATTGTTTTTTCCAAGTAAAGTGAAACAAGGCAAAACAACCTATATTTTACTGCAGCTGGTATTTATCCAGGAACTACAATTATCATTATTCTCTTTAACATTATGGCTGGAATATCCCATGAATAGACCTCTTAAGTTCACACCTATAAACAGCTCATGCTGAAGTTTAAATTCATACTATCTAATAAAAAAATAGCATAATATTAAACCGCCGTGAGCCCATCATACTAAATTGTCACGAAAGCGTTTAAAAATTTAAATTCTGTTTCCCTAGACTCAGCCGCGGAAGTAGGCCACCGCAGTAACTACGTCGCTAAGTACCGCCACAATGGACTTACGCTGAGAAGGCACATGTTGTACATTTATTTATTTATATTTCTTGCACATCAACACTGTACAGCGGCGGACATTGTGTCCGCCGCTGTACAGTGTTGATTATGTTGCTGTGATTATGTCAATTTACTTATTTAAAATCCTGTTTATTTTTTCAAAATTTTCCAATTACCTTTTAACTTAAAATGTGATTCAACTACTCAACTGGCTTTTTCTGGTCAGATCTTATTAGGTTTTGAATAAAGTAAAAAAAGATTTAAGTAGGTAATTGCTACATAGTCCACCCATTCACCCATAAGAATAAGATATTACGAGAGTGCACCAGCCGAAAATATAATAAATTAATAATTAGTAAAATACTCGTAGGAGAAAGCCTACTGAATGTCTACTCAGTAGTAATTTTTATGAACACCTTTTCATAAGCGTTAGGGAATTGCCTGCTCTTCATGATATCGAATATGAGAATTCACTATTTATACGAGTAGGAGAGCAACGTTGATAATAAATTATATTTGTGCTTATCTTTGAATTGATGACTTTCTGTTGTTAATTCCCATAACGTAATAACAATTTTGAACTCTGTTTACCTTGGCCTAGATGCAATGGAACCAACTACAAGTAAAAACTACTAAAATAATACTTAACTACATATATATATGCAATTAACGTTTTTAAGTTATATCTGTTATTGCCCTTTTTCTTCTATTTCCAATACACTTATTCAACTAAAAAGCGTCACATCTCCCACGAGTACCTATTTTATTTTCCGTTGCCATCTAAAAGCCAACTCGAAGTGCGCTCGCTCGAATCTTCTTTCGTCGTAGAATTTAGTAGTTTATTCACGTGACTTAGCGTGCTGTACTGTCGCTTACAGCTGAAGCGTTTCTATTGGCGTAGATAGCGATAGGCTTTAAAAGCGATCTGTGGTCATCCAACCATTATTAATTAGATTATCGACTGTCCACCGGTTTTGCCAGTAATGTATTTGCTGATATACAGATAATACTAACGTATGCATTATAGTAATTTGATCTAGCAGATTCCATTATAATGCTGTTAGCTTCCACGATTTGATTAAATCTAGTTTACAGCACACAAGGAACGCATTAGATTATTACTAAAGTGCTAAACTTCAGCCCGTGACTTTACTCTAGATTTTGATAAATGATCTAAAACCTGAGCTGAAGTAAATGTAACTTACCTTCCCTTCAAAGTATTATGACGTGTTTATGTGCCCTGGAAAGGGCCTATGTACTGTATAAACTGTTTCATTGCATTATGTTGAATTTCATAAAATAACAGCTGTTAACTTACATGAAGTAGTAACAAAAATTCCATCCTGATATCGGGTTTTTTTCCAGGTATTAACATTTTAATCGATACGACATAAACATACCTACTCTATTTTTCAGCACCATGAAAACTTAAATAATTTTTATGGTGTACCCGTACATGGCACTAAACTGGACAATGGCGGTGTCAAACACTGACGTAACTTAATTTCTGTTGAATATTTTAACTAAAGTACTATTCTCAGCTATAATTAAGTCAACCAAAACCCTTTATCCTGTTTTATAACCTCCATGTTGCAACTTTGAATTTTATATGGGTTTGCTTGCCCATAGAACTGAAAAGGTGGGATGCTTTTGTTTTTAAATAAAAAATACTTAGGTACATTGTTTTACTTTTGAATTGAATTAAAAGTTTATATTTCTACGGTTTCGAGAAACAAATGACTCGCGTTACTTGTTTCTCGTGGTGAGGACGTAACATTCTTCAAAGTTTCTTAAACTTTTTCAATGGCCCGGTTTAACAATACAGTCTTGTTGGAACTTGAAACTACAGTAAGGTTTCCTTCTTTTAAATATTTCTACCTACATTTGATTGTGTGGTCTATTCAAAAAGGGACATTAAGTAATAATTTCATCAATTATCATCTTCAGAGGTCCAGGTTCAATTCCCAGTGGAGTTAAAATGTTAATAAATGTTGCTGGGCAATCGTAACAATTTGATTTCACAAAAACATTTTTTTTCTTAAAATTTTTATTGGTTATTACACAAATTACTAATAGTCCCGTTAGCCCCTTGTATCACGAGTGAGCTCACCACTATAGTCGAGCGGCGGCGGGGACCGAACCCGCGTTCCCCGGATCGCGAGTCGGCCAGTCCGACCTCTTCACCGTTCGGCTATCGTGGCTTCACATTGGCACAAATATACCTGGACGTGTTTTTATACAAAAATTTAAAAGAAATTAGGTGTTTAGCACCACTTATTGTTTGTGAGGCGTTTTATTTTAGTTTAATTTAACGGAGAACTGTCTTAACTCCGCTCCGCCTCACAACACTGCGGTATAATTAGTTTTTTAAATCGTTACGCAACCCGGCTCATGCGGCCGTCTGATAACGGTAATATTTGGGGTGCTTATTGAATTTCAAGTGGCATTTGTTATTCTATTATGTTGCCTAATATTCGAAACGTTTAACTATTTCTGCCACTTCATTCTGATTTTAAGTATTAGGCTGGGTTGCACCTTCTTACTTTAACTTTAACAAACGTCCATAGGTCCAACGAAAATAGGTTATTGTTATAGTCACGGTTAAAGTTAGGTGGTGCAAATCAGCCTTAATCAATGGTCATTGCAGAGCCGAGCTTTTTCATAATTATGCACCTTTTAAGAATTAAAATTGGCACCATAGGCAATTTATGATTGTGTCCGTCTGAGGTTTGATCAATTTATTGGCTTTTTAAACGGGATTATTTTCGTTAGAATCTACAGCTCTACGATTAAAACTGGGGAAGGTTGAGTAACCTGTCGATAGCTATTTTGGAATAATTGGAATCTAAAACAAATATCAAAAGATACGAGGAGTTTTGAGGCTCTACTCGGGAGCTGTTGTGAAAGTGGGAGAAAACCCTTTACTGAACACCTACCTTCATAGCGTAAGCTTTGCTTATTTTGCGGTTAGACGACAAGTGTTACAAGGTACTTAAATTGAAAAATAATTGGTTTTATTGCGATACGCTACACTTACACCGCCTGCACAAGATGCTACTTAGTATGTATGAAACGTCCTCGATATTTAAAGCATACTGCTCGAACCCATGCGTTCACTTTCATGCTACTTGTCATATTATTATGCGCTTTGCTTTCCGCGGGTTACCATAATAAAAGTATTTGTATCATAGATTTTGAATAAAAGTAATTTGTATCATAGAGTTTGAATAAGAGCAGATTATATTTTGCGTTTTTTGTAAGGATGAAAAATACTTATTTCCAAATAACTATTTTGAGTGTGTATCAATGAGCTAAAAGTATGGTTACATTATTATTTTTCAAATCAGTCGATGCCACAAATCTAAACATGGTAATACAAATTGTGCTGTGTGTCGTTTCCGACTGTGAATTTGCTATTGAATTACATAGATTTATTTGGTTCTTAACATTTTCAGCAAAATATACATTTTGGTTCTAGAAATTTATAATGTAGACTAGACGTATTTTATATTCGTGAAATAGTAAGCGGAAGCCGAAATAAAAATTCAATCTCAATTCGGGACAAAAAAATGGAAAACGGTGAATTTGAAATGAACCCAGGTACCTACCTAATGCGACCGAATGGACGGCGATTTGGGAAATCGGTCAAGTACAACCGTGTTTTGGAGGCCGATTGGTGGATTGTTTTCTTGGTTTTCCTTATCGCTGAATTGATGTAGATTAGATTTTCAGATAAGCGCGGCGCATCTGATTTCATTTACAATACCTACTGTAAAAAAAAATATGTGTAGGTATGTATCGCTATCTCGCTTATGTCGGAGATAATTTTGTTATCTATCTGTAGCCTGTCAGCTGATTGTAATTCTTTCTAAGTTCCTATTTTTAAAAATACATTGCGCCCTAAGAACCACTGTAATAATCCTTCTTTACATAACATTAAGTCGACCCAAGCCTACATTACCCTAATAAAACGGGATAATTTGTTTACAGCCCGTTTACAAGTAATTAATTGTGTAATTAAGCTCGAAAACGTCTCAAAGCCGCACTTGTGTAACCGCCACCGAAGCGCGACCTCTGAGCTGCATCTTATCATTCAGATTTTTTCAATCCGCTTTCATGCGTTTGAGTCGCAAAAAAGGTTGTTAAAAAATCTGCGCGCGCGCACAAGCTCGCGAAAGCTCAGTGCTGTGTCGGGAGCGCGCGCCGGCACACGCATGCGCGACATGTTTCGGCCATGGAGCTATGGAGCGGCCTGCCTGCGGCCAGCCTGCGGCCCGTGAGCGACGAGGGGTTTGCGCTCGCGTTTTTCGATCCGAAGCCCGACGCGCCGCCCAAGCAAGGTACCTTAACGCATTCACTACCACATTTTCGACCCCTGAAAATACGTGCCCTGTGCAAATTTGAAATTTTGTTCGAACCCTGAAAATGCGTGCCCTTCATACATTTGAAATTTCACGTTCGCCGGTGAGTGATTATTTTGTGCAGGGGCTACTGTTTCGAAGCGCCGTTGTCGTCTTGTTATGTTTACAAATACATCGATCAAACGTCAATTACCCACTTAACCAAGTTAAGTTTCAAGTTACAATAACTGCGGTTGCAGCGGTCTTATTTATATTATTTGTTAATTTCGCGTAATTTCATGTCACTAGGTGTTTACTTCGTATTATTACGATATAGTATCAAATTAAAGGCTTCGATTTGACTTGATCACATTTGATTGTAATAATTATGAGTATTCGAGATTAGGTATTACACAATGCAGTCAATTTAAATGTTTAAAAAAAATTAGAGCTTGATTCAAGTTAAGGTAAATATAATAATAATACTACATTATAATAATAATACTATATTATAATAATAATACTATATTATAATAATAATTTTATAATACTCATAAACAAATAAAAAGATTGAAGTAACTACATAACTTGAAGTTAATTTTATATTGTATTAGAATGACTTAGTTTTAACATTAAACATACCTATCCCAACTAATATTATAAATGCGAAAGTAACTCTGTCTGTCTGTCTGTCTGTTACGCTTTCCCGCTTAAACCTCGCAACCGATTTTGATGAAATTTGGCATAGAGATAGTTTGAGTCCCGGGAAAGAACATAGGATAGTTTTTATCCCGGTTTTTGAAACAGGGACGCGCGCGATAAAGTTTTTCTGTGACAGACAAAATTCCACGCGGGCGAAGCCGCGGGCGGAAAGCTAGTTATAATATATTTTGTGTTGGATCATTTGATATATATTAATTGTTGTTTACTAATCTGTCCTGAAACTATACATAGGTATACATAGAGGTACTGATCTATGTCAAGTACTCGTATATTGACAAAACAGCAAATAAACAACAAATTGAAAACGTGTGAAAATTAATTAACGAAGTGAGTGTTTAAAAAACTTATTAATAAACTAATTTTTCGGTCTAGTTAAAAAAAATGGTTTGGATGTCATGCACTAGCGATTGTTGATATTTATAGATGATTTCATTAAATTAAGTTAAAACGTCTTATCACGAATAATTAAAAAAAATATATGACATCTTTCACTAATCCTTTACTACTCCTCGATCATCTCACTATTTTATAGTGACAAGCGAATAAAAATAAATTCATCATACAAACATTGTCCCAGCGAGATTCGAACTCGCAACCCTACTTAGCTAGTTATTCCAGGTACATACGCGAATTAGGCTAGACAACCGTAATTGATCTAAAGTTTCTCATTTAAAATTCGCTTTATAAATAACATTATTACGTATATCCTGGTATTAAAATTATTATAAGAAATCAAATAAGTGAAAAACTCAATAAAAAGAAAACTCAATTTCCTTCTTCGGCTAATTGTATACGATTACGTTTAAAGTGGTTTGCAAATAATCAAAATATTGCATTCATTTATTAATTGTGTCTATATTTGTATAATATTAGTTTAAAGCTTAATTAATAGTACAAATAAATGGAAAGCACGTGCAAGTTGTACAATTGAAAAATTGTAAAAACTTTCTTAATATCTACGACAGCGTTTAATATTGGCAAATTCTGCCTATGCACGTTTCCGTTGCAAGTTGCGCACGCGCGTGATTGCCTAAATCGCTTACTTCGGTAAAATATTTTGATATTTCCGACTTATTGTTTCAATGTGGTTTTGTATTTGTGTAACAGTGGCTGCCTCGGTCGGGCGGGGTAAGTTATTTAATTGTTTTATAATTAACGTAGCCCCCTCATGGGATGAATAAATTGTGTTACTGAGATTGTGAATCTAATAGTTCTCCATTTTAGTCTATTAGGGATGCAGAAACTTATTGATTTGATTTAGGTACTTACTTGTTTTGACAACCTTGTTGTTGATTGTAATAAGTTTATCACAAGTGACTAAATACATTTTGTGCAGTGAATCTTTTGATTGAGTGTAAGTAGAATGCTTGCGTATCATATATTGATCTTAAAGTTTTTCTTTAGTTCGTGGGACGGTTATTACTTACACGTTTCTGTTAAAACAGTTTTCGTTATTCTGTGAATGTATTTACGTTTTCAAACTGTTTTTGACTGCGCCAAATGCGATGCTCTTTCTTAAAAACCGTTGGATTTTTCTTGCGTTTTTTAGATTACTTTTTCAGGTTTACATAACAAGGAAGAAAATCTATTGAGAATTTTTTCTCAGTACATTTTCTTAGACGTTTATTATTAACGTTTTCATTAGTTTCAATTATACGTCTTGTTATTTAACAATTAACACGCTCCTGTTCGTATATCTCGTTCATCTCGTTAAAACTCGTGTTAACAATTGCTGAAACGATCAACAATACGTATCGAAATCAATCAAACTGCTCGAGTTATATATCTGTTAAATTAATGATTTAGCTAATTCTTGGTCTGTAATTCTTAGTAGATCTAATAATTAACGATATTTAAGGTATTTTTTGCCTTATATCCAGTTGCCCATTATTATTTACACCCAGTGTATCCAATGCGTTTATACGTAGATTTTCATAGTCTGCATGCATTATACATGCTTCAACATATTGATATTTATATTTATGTGTAGACATGCCGATATGTTACCAGTGGCAGACATTCGTTTTATTTCGTAAGCACTAACATAGATATTTTGCATTACTAGTATTATTATCTTTCACTTATCATCTGACTTCAGGCAATTCTTAGTGACATAATTATGATATCGTAACAACGCTACTCGTTTTAGGGCAATATTCATTAATTTACAAAGAAAATTAAAGTTAAACAAAAGTTATCCGACTAATGAAAAATCAGCCTTGACAGTTTCAGTATGGAAAATATGTCAAAATGACAAGGTTATTCTTCAGATAAGATCTGACGATTGAAAAATCAGCCCTCAATGTGCCAAACTTATTCTTTAGTTAAAAGTTATCCGACGATTGAAAAATCAGCCCTAAGTAAAGTAAGAAATGTTTTGGTTACAAATGTTTATTTGATCACCTGAAAGAAATTGAATGCGGGCGAAGACCTGCATTTCTAGCTAGTTATTAATAATATAATAACATAAAACACGTGTCACACACTTTGCTCACATGCACACAAATTACACGTGAGTGCAGATGTGCGCGAAAAAATTACGAACGATAATGAAGCCTTGCGCATCAACAATAGCACTCGTGTCAAATCGGAGCAAAAAGTATTAAACCGTAGTAATACATAGTATTAATACCGTGGCATAACGGTAACCGGTGCTTTTTGTATGGAGTTTGACAGAATTTTGACGTTTGTTAAAGTTAAAGTAAGATGGTGCAACTCAGCCTTAGAATTTTAATAATAGAATTTGGTTACAAACAAATAGATATGTTTCAATCGACTCGTGTCAGCTCGGGAAGTGGCATGCTAGTGTAGAGAGGCTTGGTAGAGCTACCAACATTTTAGTGTTGTGTATCATTCTAGTATTGTAGCCAAAAGACCATAAAAAATATAAGAAGCCTGTCAGATTCTTATATTTTAATGGCCTTGTTGGTTATCAGTACCTAAATATAAATTTTGTAAAAAATATGAATGAAGGGTAATTTTTTTAATCTTTATTTGATTGGTGGCATTTCCCGGTTGCCGTTTTTTCTCCATCTTGAAATCTTTCTCTAGGAATGACATTTTTATATAAAAGATTGATTGTTTAGATTTAACTATTATAAAGTAACTAGTTAATAATCTAATCAAATTAAGTTCTAGACTTTGGTTTGAATTAACTAAATAATGTTTTCATAAAAGCATGATTCCAGATTTTAGACTCAAATCATCTAGTATCGTTGTAAAAATTGTGTAGATATTTTTAAACATGTTATAAAGTTTGTTTCTTCTATCCATTTTTCTGTTAGGTATCACACCCTGGGATCACTCTTTATTATTGATCCATCCGAGGACAACATACTTTCCCTCTGAAGCACGGAAACGTCCTATCAAACAATCATCTTGACACTACAAGTACTAATAGGTATATTCCCAAAGAGATATTTTTATCGCATTATTGATACTATCATAAATCAGGTTATCAATCTTTAACTACCATTGCTAAAAGCTATGAGTAAATATTTACTAGTATGCATAACCAGCTTGAAAGATATTAATATTATCTACGTAATGAAGATTGGTAAATACCACTTTCATTTTCACCTCATCTAATTAATATGAAGTGGGCTTAAACTGTTTTTACTAAGTACCCACCTATCCATAAATTATTTTAGCGTACCTCTAGAGCAAGTTGTTGGAATGAATTTGAATTTAATGATAAAATTATTAAAGTTTTTGAAAGAAAATATTTTAACTGTGTGTGTCTTTAATTGCTTATTTAAAGAAAAATGTTATGGTTTTGTACCTTTTCACTTGAACAACTTTAATGGCATGCGTAAAAATACCAAACAAGAGTCATGCTAAAAGCTTTGCAGCAACATAAATCTTTAAAATCCGTCGTCAGCATGGCCGATCTTATTGAAACATCGTCCCTTTCTCTCTCGGAAGCGATTTAAAAACAAAACACCGCCGAAATCGTCTCGGCGAGTGGTCACAAGACAAAACACTAGCGTGCCCATCTGCCGACTGGTCGCCTAACTTCATCGAGTCGGAAGTCGGCCTTAATACTGGATCGCCGACCGGCCGCGGGTCACTGACCGGACGTTACGTAATGGAAGATAGCCTGAGGTTCGCACGGGCCTGTGTTGGTGAGCCTTGCGACTCTGCTGAGCTCGATTGTGATGGCTGCACACTGAGAAAGACGTTTCTTGAGATTCAATTTTCGATTTCGAGTCCGAATACTGTCTAGATGTAGAGTTTTGTCAACATTCGCTTTCGAAACCGCTAAAAAAGTCGCATTG